CAGGAAGGAGCAGGAAACACTCTGGAAGTAATAGGTATAGGTGAGGACTTCCTCAATAGAACCCCAGCAGCCCAGCAACTAAGAGAAAGAATGGACAAGTGGGACTTTATAAAATTAAAAAGTTTCTGCACAACAAAAGGAATGTTCTCTAAACTGAAGAGACCACCCACAGAGTGGGAGAAAATATTTGCAAGCTATACATCAGACAAAGGACTGATAACCAGAATATACAGGGCAGGGGACTTAAGAAACTAAACTCTTCCAAAATCAATGAATCAATAAAGAAATGGGCAACTGAACTAAACAGAACTTTCTTAAAAGAAGAAATTCAAATGGCCAAAAAACACATGAAAAAAATGCTCACTATCTCTAGCTTTAAAGGAAATGCAAATCAAAACCATGCTAAGATTCCACTTCACCCCTCTTAGAATAGCCATCATCAAAAACACCACCAACAATAGGTGTTGGTGAAGATATGGAAAAAAGGAACCTTTGTACATTGCTGGTGGGAATGCAAGCACAACCACTCGGGAAAAAAATTTGGAGGCTGCTTAAAAATCTGAACATAGATCTGCCTTATGATCTAGCAATCCCACTCCTGGGGATATACCCAAAGGAATGCAACACAGGCTACTCCAAAGGCACCTGCACACCCATGTTTATTGCAGTGCTATTCACAATAGCCAAGTTATGGAAACAGCCAAGATGTCCCACTACTGACGAATGGATCAAGAAAATGTGGTATTTATACACAATGGAATTTTACACAGCCATGAAGAAGAATGAAATCTTATCATTCACATGTAAATTGATGGAACTAGAGAACATAATTCTGAGCGAGGTTAGCCAGCCTCAGAAGACCAAAAATTATATGTTTTCCCTCATATGCGGACTTTAGATCTAGGACAAATGCAGCAATGTTTTTGGACTTGGGTCACATGACAAGGGAAGAGCACATACAGGAGCTATGTGGATAAGTAGAAAACCCAAAACATGAAAGCATTTGATGTCCCCACTCCAAAGGAACTAATATAGAAACCTTAAAGCAACAGAGGTCAACACGAGAAAGGGATCAGGAACCATTGTAAAGATCAGTTAGAGATGAATCAACTTGGGTTGTAACACATTTGTACATGAAAACAGTGCTAGGAATCTTTCTGTATAGCTGCCCTTAACTCAACTAGCAAAAACTCTTTGTCTTTCTTATTATGCTTATGTCTTCTCTTCAACAAAATTAGAGGTAAGGGCAGAACAGGTTCTGCCTGGAAGCGAGGCGGGGTGGGGGAGAGAAGGTGGGTGCGGGGGGGGGGGGGGGGGAGAAATGACCCAAACAATGTATGCACATGTGAATAAATGAATAAAAACAAAAGACAGACATAGCGTTTTTGCTGGTTTGAGATAAGGATAGCTATACAGAGAGATTCCTAGCCTTGCTTCCATGCACAAGTGTATTACAACCTGAACTGCTTCATCTCTACCAGATCTCTTCCCTATTTCCTGGTCCCCTTCCCGTAGTGGTCTCGGCCAGTTTAAGACTACTTTATTTGCTCCTCTACAGTGAGCACATCAATCACTTTCAAGTTTTAGGTTTCCTTCCCTTTCCCTACCCCTCCTTTGCGTGTTCTCCCCTTAGTGTGTGACCCAGGTCCAATAATATTACTGCATTTGTTTTAGGTCTGTAATCCACATATGAGGGAGAACATGAGATTTTTGGCCTTCTAAGGCTGTCTAGCTTCGCTTCAGATGATGTTCTCCAGTTCCATCCATTTTCTTGCAGATGACAAAGTTTCATTCTTCTTTGTGGTTGAGTAAAATTCCATTGTGTATAAATACCACATTTTCTTAATCCATTCATTGGTAGTGGGGTATCTTGGTAGTGGGGCATTTCTGTAGCCTGGTTATTGTGAATAGTGCTGCAGTAAACATGGGTGTGCAGGTGCCTTTATAGTAACTTGAGTTGCATTTCTTTGGGTATATCCCTAGGAGTGGGATTGCTGGATCATATGGTAGATCTATGTTTAGTTTTTTAAGAAGTCTCCAGATTGTTTTCCAAAGTGGTTGTACTAGCTTACATTCCACCAGCGGTGTATGATTCTCTGCATCCTTTGCCAACATTTGTTGCTGGTGATGTTCCTGATATTTTAACAGGAGTAAGGTGGAATCTTAGTGTGGTTTTGATTTGGATTTCCTTTATGGCCAGGGATGGTGAGCATTTTTTCATGTGTTTTTTGGCCATTTGGACTTCTTCCATTGAAAAAGTTCTGTTTAGTTCAGTTACCCACTTCTTTATTGGCTCATTGATTTTGGGGAGTTTAGTTTCTTGAGCTCCCTATATATATTCTGGTTATCAATTCTTTGTCTAATATATACCTAGCAAAGATTTTCTCCCACTCTGTGGGTGGTCTCTTCAATTTAGAGACCATTTTTTTTGTTGTGCAGAAGCTTTTTAATTTCATGTAGTCCTATTTGTCCATCCTTTCTCTGAGTTGCTGGGCCACTTGAGTTCTACTGAGGAAGTCCTTGCCTATATATATTGTTTCCAGAGTATTCTCTGCTCTTTTGTGTACTAACTGCAAGGTTTTGGGTCTGAGAGTAAGGTCCTTAATCCACTTTGAGTTGCTACTAGTACAGGGTGCCAGGCATGGATCTAGTTTCAGTTTTCTGCAAGCAGATAACCACTTTTCTTAGCAACATTTGTTGAAGAGGCTGTCTTTTCTTCATTGTATGTTTTTGGTGCCATTGTCAAAAATCAGGTGGGCTTAGCTGTGTGGATTTGTATCCAGGTCCTTATTCTGTTCCACTGGTCTTTATATCTGTTTTTGTGCCAATACCATGCTGTTTTTATTGCTATGGTTCTGTGGTGTAGTTTGAAGTCGGGTATTGTGATACCTCCAGTGTTGTTTTTTTTGCTTAGTATTGCCTTGGCTATTCACAATCTTCTGTGTTTTCAAATGAACTTTAGGGTAGATTTTTCAATCTCTTTAATGAATGCCATTGGAATTTTGATGGAAATTGCATTAAACATGTAGATTGCTTTTGGTAGTATAGCCATTTTTACTATGTTGATTCTGCCAATCCATGAGCATGGGAGATCTTTCTACCTTCTGTAGTCTTTTTCGATCTCTTTTTTCAGGGGTTTGTAGTGCTCCTTGTAGAGGTCATTTACATCCTTAGTTAAGTTTATTCCTAGGTATTTGATTTTTTTGAGGCTATTTTAAATGGAATTGTCTTCCTATATTCTTTCTCAATTTGTTCATTGTTTGTATAGAAAGGCTACTGATTTTTTGTAAGTTGATTTTGTATCCTGCCTCATTGCTGGAACTGTTTATGCTGTCTAGGAGGTTTTTAGGTCTTTGACGTATGGGATTATGTCATTTGCAAATAGGGATACTTTGACTATTTCTTTACCTAGTTGTGTTCCTTTTATTTCTTCTTCTTGCCTTATTTCTCTGGATAGGAATTCTAGGACTATGTTGAATAGGAGTGGGGAGAGTGGGTATCCTTGTCTCGTTTCTGAGTTTAGGGGGAATGGTCTCAGTTTTTCCCCATTGAGTATGATGTTGGCTATAGGCTTTTCATGTGTAGCCTTTATAATGTTGAGGGATGTTCCTTCTATCCCTAGTTTTCTTAGAGCTTTTATCATGAGATGGTGTTGAATGTTATCAAAAACTTCTTCTGCATCTATTGAGATGATCAAGTGGTTTTTGTCTTTGCTTCTATTAATGTGCTATATTACATTTATTGAAAAATCCCCATTTTTTTGTTGGCACTGGTGGCTCACACTTGTAATCCTAACTACTCAGGAGGCATAGATCAGGAGGATCATAGTTTTAAGCCAGCTGGGCAAATAGTTTGAGAGACCCTATCTGGAAAAAACCCATCATGAAAAAGGGCTGGTGGAGTGGTTCAAGGTGTAAGCCCTGAGTTTAAACCCAAGTACTGCAAAAAGAAAAAAAAATCCTCACTTTCTCATGAATGAAATCTTATCAAGTTAGGATTCTACTCTTTAACAAACATTAGGATTTGTCTTGAGTTCTATTATGGAATTTGTCTGACTTACTAAAATCCAGGACTTAGGACTTTGTTTTAGACTTTTCTTTCATTGCTCTTCACTTAAGACGTTAATATTTCTAACTCATTTCAAACTGGGCCATGATATCTGAGTTAGGGGTCTGAAGTTAAAATGGATCAAAACCCAATCAGAACATTTTAAACATGTTAGCTTAAAATGCAGTACAGTAAAGGTAATTCTCCTCTGTTACAATTTAGTGTGTCTTCCACTCATAACCTTGGACTGAACCCAAAGAGAGAAATAAAGTACTGTTCCTGCTGCCATACACTCAGCATTTGAGGATGCAGGCAGTCAGGTACACAGATCACAGATTGTATAATACCTGCTAGAATATAGGTAGTAGGAATGAAGAAGGGAGGGTACCTAAACACATGGGGTTATCGTAGACATGTCAGAGGGGATGATGGTTTGAGTGGGTCTTGAAGCAGAAAAGATGTAAGTTCCTCCAGGAACAGTGAATTGCGTGGCAGAGACACAGAGGCAAGAGACCATCAAAGGATGAGTGAAGATTTTTCTGTCAAGGTTTCAGAGGTTAGGTTGGACAGAGAAGTAGGGAAAGAGTAGGATGAGAGAAGGAAAGAGTAGAGAGATAAGACTAGAAAACATAGTCACGTTCAGCACAAAAGGCATATAGAAAAGTTTGCACTTTAGCAAATTTTGGAGGAGATGTTGAAGGGCCAGGAGGCAATGTTGAAGAGACTAGAGACTGAGAGGAAGGTAGATTTACTCAGCTAAATCAGTGGTTCCCAGTTCTTGCCATACTTCAGAATTATCTGGGACATTTATTAATAATAACGATGTTAAAAGCCTTACATCTGGCTTTTTATTTTGTGTTGGAAATGAACTATCTTAATCTTCAAAGTAAACTCCATAGATGATGCTGGTCAGCTCTTGAAATGTATTTTTCTATATTCATACTTCATTATAGGAAGCATATTCTTTAATTGAGAGGAGCGAAGAAGAACAAAATGCTCTATATTCATATCAGAAATATTTGGAAAGTTCAAAAACAAAGAAAAGCAGAATCCCTCCTCCACCTATCGTGCTATCCCGAACTCATTGTTCTGTGACACTCAAACCTGCTCCGTTCACTCCAGATGTTAAGGTATGGGGCCTCTTGTAATTTTTATGTTATGGAAGGCAATTTAAGACTTTTGTGATTGTACGATTCATGCTTTTATTGCTTTTAGGACCCTGTCTTCTTCATAAGCGCTGGATACCAGATTAGTATTCTAATGTCATATACATACATACATACATACATACATATATATATATATCTCCCCATTTATGGAATGCTCTGTAGAGCTGTGCTGTACCCAAATATATGGTAAGAGAAACAGTTCCCTCTGCATATCTTTTGTTACTATGACACAGTTATGTGCTGACATCCTAGTGTGTTTAAGACATGGGCCTCACTTGAAGTGCAATCAGGCATTTGAAGAAATAGAAGTTGCTCTCAGAGCCAGTGATGGAGATGAAGCAGTGGAGTATGGAAATTTGGAGGTTCTGCCCAAAGTTCTTCCAAGTGAATGTGGATTCTTTTAATGCAAACAAATGACAATTCCAGCATATCATCAATCATAACTCTGTGTAGTTATTAGGATGGGCCTCATCTCCCATCCCTGACGCCTTGAAACTTGGTGTAAGGGGAACTAAAACTTGACCATTAGTTTCCTAACAAGAATTTTGTTCCACATAGTTTTATTTTAAACATTGCATTTTCCTCCTTTTGGATGTCCAACAACATGCTCTTTGATGATGTATACAAAAATAAAGTTTTATCTTTGATTATCTTCAGGGCATTTTGCATTCACACTGTGAAGTCAAGCACAATTTGGTTTAAAATTCTTCCTTCACACCTTACTTGACTTTAGGAAGGGGGGATACATTTTCCAGGGATTGATTTCATTTGTAAAATGTGTTTGCTGTGAAATAAAATGAGATAATGTACAATATTCTTGTCGTATTAATTGGTGCCTTTCCACACCTTGTGTTAGACATTTGTAGTAAAGCTTTTCAAAAACAACTAGTAGAGTTATATAGATATGATTACATTATTTGATGATATTTTTATAAATTATAAGAAACAGTGTCTTTGAGCTGGTGGAGTGACTCAAGGGGTAGAGCCCAGCAAGAATCAGATCCTGAGTCAAACCCCAGTACCACCACCAAAATAAAAAAAAGAATAGTGTGTTTAAGCTATCAAGCTATGAGTGAGATAATTGAGGTAGGAAGTTAAACAGGGGTGAAGTGTGGTTCATTTCTTGAGGAACTTCAGTCTAATGGAAGTAATATCAACTTGATAACATTTCTCCATTGTAGGAATAGAGATAACACTCATCTTACACCTACTTGTGCTATAATAAATGTATTATTTTTACTGATAGAAGTTTTAAAGTTCAACTTTGATTTTTTGGAATCTGTTTAAGAGTAAAGTTTCACTTATTTTGGAAAATTAGTATAGAATGAAGACTAATTTACTGTTTTTGTTTTCAAATGTTTTGGTTTATTTAACCAAAATCTTAATTTTTATGCTTTCAAATTTAGTGATTACTTTAACTTATCATTCTTAAAAATAGGAAGACATAATAGTCCCATATTTAACCTGCAGTTCTAATACTTGTCATTGGGCACATTATATGAAGTTTATGTAAATTACACATTAAGAAAGTTGCTGTAGAAAGATCACCTGCTGTTTCCCACTTGTGAGCACTAGGTGGTGCTGTGGGCCTACATAAGTTTTCTCTTTTGGGGATTCAGCCATCTTTTGTTTTACCAAAACCTCTTTTTAAGGCATTTATTTCATTAAAATCTGATTTTACAGTTAAAAATGTTAATGCTATTTATATTATTTATAAAATCTTACTTCCAAAGTTAGTGATTTATTAATGATGTCTCTATTCTTATGTAGGTTCTAATTACACATTGCTCTTTGAGTTACACAAACTAAGACTTTCCATCAGTGGAGCAAAACAGAAGTATAAAATCTGCTTGTAAAAATGCTTTTAGAGAGAATTTTGCCCTCCAAATTCTGATTTATAAGATATAACTTAGAGCAATAACAACCCAAGTCTTATAATACAGTCTTTCTGCCTTTTTTGCCCCCCTGTGGAAAAATGGGAGTTTTTTTGCATGGGTGATCAAGGGAAGTTGATTCCATTTTTTCCTCTTGTGTTCAGTTTCCATGTTCCTTCAGTATTCTGTCTGTCTTTGGAGTTCTCCAGTACTTGACTAGTACTCTTTAATTAGTTGTGCATATCACAATCAACTGAGAAATTTTCTTTGGAAACACAAAGGGCTGGACACGTTTACCAGAAAGTCTTAATTCAGCAAATTCAGGCAAGCTTGGGATCTGTAGCTGAAGAAAAGGGTTGAGTCTGTACAAACTATATTCTGAAAAGATGATTCTGGTGCACAGGGTTAGACATCCATTTGTGTAGATGAGACCCTGTTAGGATTTTCTGTTGATCTGGAGGAAGGAGAAACAGGTATAAACTGTAAAAGATGCTTGCTAGAGACAATTGCATTTCCCTTCTTTCGACTTTCCCCTGTAGTTAGGAGCTGCCTTTGGGAAACAGTGAATGCTACAGTGATGACCCCACACGGAATACCCTTCCCTTAAGTATCAACTCATTCCATTTTTTCCTACAGTGAGAATATAGCTCATTCTAGTAATGTACCTTCATTGTTTTGACATCCTGGCTGAAGGTCCATTGTCTAATAATTTAATCAAGTTTAAGTTTGGTTATTTCTGTGGGATTTGTATTTTGTATTTGGTTTATGTGTATATTTAAAAATGTTCATAGTAATATTGTAATTCAGAAAATTGTATACTGGAAAAAATATTACTTATCATGTTACCATTTTACCATTCATAGTTTTACCATTTTACCATGTGAACCCTACTACCACTATTCTTATTTAGATGCATTTTCTTCCAGTCCTTTTCATATATGTTCAAAAAATAATTTTTAATATAATTTAGTCTCTTGCTTCTTTTTCCACTTGCTTTTTGTTACATACTATTATATAAAATAAGAAAATCATTTCATGGGTGATCTTTGTTTCCATCAAGTCATAACTTGAGTCCATCAAGATTAAGTTGTCTTTGGAGTCAACTTCTGCCATCATCTGCCTACTATGGGGTAAAGTGATTTAGCTTCTCTGCAACTCCATTTCCCATGACAGAAGTAATTCCATCTCATAAGTGTGAATATTAGAAAGCATACATTAATTTCCTAATGCTACTAATCACATAGAAATTGCTTGTAGCTAAAATAAGTCATAATGAATAATATTTTAGTCTTGATTATACCAGGTAAACTAGTCCTATATTTGTCTTTACTTTTGTAAGGTTAAGCCTAAGTATGTTTGTAAGCATAGATGTCGTATTTTAAAACTTGAATAGTCACATTTTTCATTAGAAATTATCCCCTTTGCTACATTCATACAAAAGAAAACAAATACCTTTTAAAAGACTACAGGTGATGGGCTCATCTTTATTCTTGGCAGGTGTCCTGGTATTGCATTTTGGGTTGCAAGGCAGAAGGAAACTATGGGAAAGTAAGGCTAAATGATAATCACCTCCCAAATTCAGGAGAAGCGGTATGTTGTATTAAATGCCAAGAAATCTTACCAAACCTCATTAATGATAATTAAATGAGTTTTTTTCCTTGTGAAGTCATTATTTCAGTGAATCAATTCTAATTTCAGTGTGTCATAACTAAAATCCAACAGAGAAACAAAAAGGTATACCTAGTTATAGTTTAAAAGTTGAATTATTTTAACTTTGTATGTATAACTTGGAATATGTTTTTATTAATAGATACCAGCTGATGGTAAAAGCATTTTTGAAGTGAAAGGTTTAGAAACAAATGAAAAATACATCTTTGCAATTGCTGCTTATTCTTGTAATGGGAAGCTCATCGGTGGTGCTGTTGGGGAGACAACAAAGCCTATTCTGATTTATCCACCTCTTTCTGCTGTAACTGCTCGGATGTACCTGACACAGGTAGAAGACACTGCTGCCATTTTTTCCACTTTGTTTTCTTCTGTTAAGAATTTGCCAAGTAATTTCTGATGGAGAAAAAAATCACAGCAGATATTCTGAAGCTCTTATAATGCATATTTTCCACAATTGAAGTTCAGTCTCATGAAATATAAATTCCTTTCTCCTATTAGTGAGTTTGCTTTTTTACAGTAATGCTTTCTCTCAGATTATGAATATAACACATAATAATTTTAAACGTTTTAGAAAATACTGAAATGTGTATAGAAGAAAATAAATGCTATCTGTTAACATCCAGAATAGCAGTTCTTTCCCTGGGGCAATTTTGTAATTATCTGGAGACAGTTTTGGTTGTCACAACCTGGTATGTGTGGGGTTACTGACATCTAGTGAGTAGAGGCCAGGGATGCTGATCAGCACCCCACCGTGCAGTGAACAGCCTCCCATAATGAAGAGTTGTCTAGCACGAAATGTCAGCAGTGCCAGGGTTAAGAAACCTTGACCTAGAGACAGCATTTCATTTTCAATGTGTCTTGTAACTATCTGTCTATCTAAGCAGTTAGATATGTATAGATACATATGTAGAGGTACAATATAGATGCATTCACATGAATATGTGTATGTGTTTTTTTGTATAATATGTAATAGAAATCATATTATTTTGCAATGTGATATTTTCATTTAATATATAACTGACATTTCTTGAGTCAGGTGTGGTGACCCAGGCCTCTAATCCCAGTACTCAGGAAGCTGAGGCAGGAGGATCACTGTGAGTTCTAGGCCATCTTGGGCTAGACCCTGTTTCAAAAAACCAAACCAAATCAAAATGAACTAAACCAAAACAAACCTCCAACTGACATTTTCTCATTCTATTGGGAATTCTAAATATATTTTTAAACCATTGCATGGAACTGAGCCTTTTAGGTGTATCATAGTTTACTTAGTCATTCTTTATTGGTGGACATTTAGATACTTGATACTTTTCTGTCTTTTGCCATTATGGAAAAGCTCTAATGCATACCATTGTATATGAATCTTTCTTTTTTTTTTTTGAGACAGTCTTTCTGTGCAGCCGAGGCTGGTCTTGAACTTGCAATTCTGTCTCAGCCTCCCAAGTGCTGGGATTAGAGGTGTATATATAAATCTTTACCTATATCCATGATTACTTTCTTCAGATAAATTCATAGATGGGCACTGTCTAGGTTGACAGTGCCCATCTATACAATGGGACACTGACAGGGACAGACCTGAGTTCAAATTCAAGCTCCTCACAGTAGTCGTGTGATACTGAGCAACTAATTTTGATCTTTGAAGTGGGAATAGTGGTTCCTCCCAGAGGTATTGAGTTTATTAAATGGAATTATACATATCAAATGTCTAACCATAGCGCTTATGACACAGTAGACCCTGAATAATTGGTATTGCTGTATTTAGTTATGAATATACTCATGATAATCATTTTGACTGAAATGGCTGTTGTCTACTAAAAATGTCACCAGTGAAGAAGACACTAGGGTGATTCATTGACTGACCTTTGTCTCAAACATCTGATTTTAAGCCTATTGTTGGCTTAGAGCTGATGGCTATTCTAAATTTCATCATATTTCTGCTGTGCCATTTTTCTCTTAATAGTTCATTAGTATTATAGGCTTAGATTTCAGTGGCATTTTATAGTATGATATTTTTCAAAGAAAATTAAGTTGAGAGAATTGCTAGGATTTGTCTAGCATTGGTTTAGCATGTCATATTGGCTCATGGTTTTCTGGTATTTTGATTTCTTTGGAATTTAATATATTCCCTAATTTGCAGTGATGGAGTTATTGTGAGGAACTGAATATTTCATCAAGGTCTAATTTTTCTCTAGGGAGTGGTTTGACTTTTGGGTTCAGTTTGGCAGAACTTTCATTGAAAGTTAATAAAATGAAGTCCAAGCGATACTGCTGGGATAATGAGAAGTGTCATGAAATAATGACTTGTGTTTCTTTATTGAAACTATATTTTCAGTCCTGTGGTTCATTCATGACAATTTATGGGCATTTTCTCTAATAATGTTAAGTGGTCAAAGCAAAATTTTCTCACTTACTAAACCTCTTTATTTTATAACTTAAGTTTAAGCCTTTAAATTCTAGCTTAATATACCTTTCTTTTGAAATTGCAATCTAGTTTTCATGAAAGTGGTTAGTTTTTAGTTTCAGGATAATTCTGTTCACTGAAACATATTATCATAAGTATTTTATAGAAAAATACAGAGATATTTCATTAAGTGCCTATGATTAACTTGGCTTTTGCAATTTTAAGTTATACTTTTACTCAGCATTATTCTATAAACATTAATAAAGTCAGGTGAATCATTAACAGACTTTCCATTAACACAGAAAGCTAGTAAGTTAGCCTGTGGGAATTTTTCTTTCTTTCTTTTTATTTATTTATTTCTTAGTAGGGCTGGGAATTGAATACAGGGCTTTAAGATTGCTAAGCAAGTGTTCTCCACTGAGCTACCTTGCCAGCCATTGGTTTTTGGAGATAGGGTCTCACTATGGAGCTCACGCTTGCCTCAAACTTGCTATATACCTCCCACTACCTTCCCAGTGCAGGGATTATACATGTGTGCCACTGTATCTGGATTAGGAAAGTTTTTTAAGGAAACTTTTTTTCTTGATGGCCTTGGTGTTGGAACTCAGGACCTCATGCTTACTAGGCAAGTACTTTTTACTGCTTGAGCCACTCTGCCAAAACTTAAGGAAACTTTTTGAATTGCATTCTTTTTTTTAATATTTTTTTTCTTTTTGGCTTAATTTCTTTTTGTTCTTCCTATTTAAGTAGGGAAAGCCTAAATAATATGATACAAAATATAGAAAACTAGAAACCTGTGAGCAGGAGTCTAGTCTTGATTTTGGAGATTATGATTGTAGGAAAATTGTTGCATCACATTTTTCCTACCTGTAAAATGGATCTGGATTATTGAAATATCAAATAAAAAAGTGAGTGATCATGATGGGTTTTTGAGATAAGAAAATGGAAATATCATTTATTAAAATGCTGAAGAAACAAAAGAAATTTCTGAATGTTAGGCATTTAAAATTTATTATTCCATTCATCATTATTGGACAACAGATTGTTTCCATATCTTGACTTATTGTGAATAATGCTGCAATGAAAATGGGAGTAGGTATAATGTACATCACATTAGCATACTGATTTCAGTTTCTTTGTGTATCTATCTTTTCAGTAGTGGAATTGCTGGATTAATTCTGTTTAAAATTCTATTGGGAGAGAAACTGCCATACTGTTTTCCAAAATGGCTGTACTAATTTACAAAACCATGAACAGTGGATAAGGCCTTATTCCCTTGTCTCCACATCCTTGCCAACACTTGCTATCTTTCATCCTTTTGATCATAACCAATCTAATAGGTGTGAGGTGATTTCTCATTTTGGTTTTAATTTGTATTTCTCTGATGAGTGAAATACCATTCAGTCTTAAAAAGCAGGAAATTCTGTGGATTAACCTAAAAGACATTAAGTGAAATAAGCCATAAGCCAACCACAGAGAGACAAATTTGTGTTCTCATTTATGTGTGGAATATAAAAAGTCAAGTTCATGGAAGTAGACAATACAATAGTGGTTATCAGAGGCCAGGATAGGGGGTGGATAGGGAAGGGGAAACACTGGTCAGCAATTCAAAGGTACAGTTAGATAGAAATAAATTTTGGTGTTTTATTGCACAATACAGTGATTATAGATAATAATAACATAAATTTCAAAATAGCTAAAAGAGAGGAATTAAAATGATAAATAGTTGAGGTGACTGATAATTAGCCTGATTCTATAGTGTATATATTCATGAAAACATCACATTCATTCTTACAAATATATATATATATATATATATATATATAAAATGTGTCAACTAGAAATAAAATAAAAATTAAAAAAATAATTATTCTATTAATAATAATGCTATGACATGATGTGATTACTTTCATTTTGTAGTTGAGAGAACAGATTAACTTTTTTCTGCCAATACAACTGTATTCTATAAAGGGTGCCTCAGGGAGGTTAAGTAATTTCCCCAAGGTTGCTTAAGTAACAGAGGGTAAGCCTGATTCTTGGATCAGCTCATGCCTTTCTATGACTTTGTCTAGATTCCAGGAGGTCAAGTATTAGATATCTACCATGTGCCAATTCTGTCAAAGCCTGCATCTCTTCCATTTATTTTTAAGTGGCCCTCTTTCTGCTCCTTGGCTTCTCTTTGGTCTCTTTCCCTTTCCCTATGCTATTTGCACCTATTTCTCTGTCAATTCTCTCTTATTCTCTGCCTGGGTTGGTGTTGGTCAGCAGATCTAGGTCAGTATTAGAGGGAGAGTTTGATAATGGAACATGAATGCTTTGCCAACAATTCCAATAGTGGCAAGAGCAAGAGAAATAAAGTTCATGCATTTTTCCCATTTCATAGATGAATTCACTGGATCTATGGTTCATAAAGGTTTGCCTTTGGTCTATGATTTCAAATTTGAAAAAATCGAATTATGGGTAAAAGATAATCATCCCTTCTTCGACCTTTCATCCTTTAACTGAATATTGACATTCTCTCTGCTCATCTATTTATTGATGAATTATTTTTCTCGGTGTCTTATTTTGTGCCAGGTTCTATGCTAGATGTCATCTCTCTTTCCTGTGGTGTCTTTTTTTTTTTTTTTTTTCATTTCATTATCACAAGAATAATTCCTGCTTAAATCATTTTGACTTGTGTTTTCAAAAGCTAAGATCCTCACTGCAGATAAGGGAGCCAGCCTGGCTCAGGGTAAGGCAGCCAAGTCATGGGAAGGCTGAGGGGTCCAGAAAGCTATAGCCTTGTGCTTTGGTTCTGTCTATACATGATTTTCTTTACTCTCATTAAAGATCGACTTTCTTTACTTTTCCAAGGAAAAATGGTGGTTTCTGAATTTATTCAGCTACAGAGCTGGCTCCTAGTCTTGATTCCAAATTCTTGGGAAAGTCTA